TTACACAAAAACGTAATGACTAGATACTGCTTACAGAATTCCGCTATAAGCCTTATTAGTTTGATTTTCTTACTAGGGAAATTGCTTAAAAACTGCAAAGTTATCAGACTTTGATAGGCCATTTCTTGAAATTGCACGATTCAATTGGTAAAAATACGAAATATGACAGAAATACTAAGGAAAGAATGGGAAAAAATTAAATTCGTGAAAGAAGAGATTATGTCGACAGAAATTGTGCGTCAATTATATTTGCCAATAAAGACATAGAACTTAGAAATACAGACAGGTTCAATTGTGTGAATTGTCAAAAACAAATCGCGATGCGTGGATTTCAACACTACTAGCTGGCAAGTAGAACAGTGCCATTTGAGCAGGCTGAGGATTGAATTAAAATTATGATTATCAGAAATATACATTCGTATTACAGACATATGTTTGCACTTTAGCTTCTGTTTTTATACGTCTATATGTAGACAAAATTATTAACATGAATATAATTTCTGAGTTTTTATGAATACATGCGAAATTGATTGTTGAAATTATAATATTTATAGTTAATATATTGAAGACCTACTTTTTAATTATTTCCTAAGTTTCATCATAACAGGTTATCAAATATCTCCGCTTTTTTGCTTCTTATTCAATGCTTTATAAAAAGTGTTACAGTCATTGTAGTTAGTTCAATTATGCGCCGTTTCGTCCGATAATCTGTTTTCATCTAGACGTAGAACTCGGACAGCCACTTTTGCGTTAAACCTCCCATCCGAGCTTCCGTAGCTTCTGTCGAGTCATCAACGAAGAGTGTGACCTGGCGTTATCCTTGTGGAACACTACAATCTTCCTGTTGGGCAATTATGGACGCATCTGGTCGATCGCCTGCTTCAAGCGGTCAAATTGTTTGAAGAAGATTATAGAATTAAACGTCTGAGTAGCTCATATTGGATAATTCCCTACCAAACACACAGCATAACCTTCCTGCTCGTCAATTCCGGCTTGGCCACTGTTTGGGACGATTCACCGGTCTTCGACCACGACCGTTTTCGTATTGATATTGTCGTATGTGATCCTTTTTTCGTCGCCAGTCACCATCCGCTTCAAAAATGGGTCGAGGTCGTTCCGATGATGCCACATGCCGGTCTAACTCGATATTTTCCATGTTACGATAGGTCTTCCGCCCGCTGGCTTATCCATGGTGTCGTTTTCACCCGCTCTGAATTGTCGAAACCATTTCTTCGCTGAATGAAGTGATAGATTACCATCCCCAAAGAACCATTAATCTCACGGAACATTTATCTAGCGGATTTGCCTTTAACAAAAGAAAACTTTAAAATATCGCGAATTTCGGCGATAGTGAACTCCATGTTTACACGTCTATAACTGTTGATCGCAATATACAAACTAATCCTGCATAGAGTCCTTTTGTAAGTTATGTCAAGACCTTTCAAAGTTTTATAGTATTGCCAGAAACGAGCTCTTAAGCGCTTTATACATAGACGCGAAATTCAAAAGACAAGTATAATTATTGTAAAATAGAATATAGAGTTAAGAAAAAAACAAAAGTCTAATTAGATTTGTTTAGTTTTTATGCTTTTAGCAGTGTTCGATATCTTCTAAGTTTGTGCATATGGAATTTGATGAGTAGATTATAATAATTTAAGTAAGAATGGACTATAACAATGAAATTTTTTAAATTTTAATGCTTTGAGGACCGCCCTGCTCCAAGGAAAATACGCCATTTAGTAGGAACTTACCAAAAGCCATTCAACCTTGCTAATTTGAGAATGCCGTAATATTTTTTTTTTATTTTTTGGCTATATTCGGCTTATTACTCATAATTGTTTAAAAGTTGTTAAATTTTCAATCATATTAATTCAGTGCAAAAATTGAACTAGTTATAGAGCAGACAAAATGGCCGGTGTAATGATATTTCGATTATTATCCGATGAGGGGGCGTTGCTACTAGCCCAATATTTTTTTTTTTGTTTTGTTGGCACACTCTTCATATGAAAGTATATGATGTTGCATTTCAATCTGTCAGTTAATTCTTACAAGCCATTTAGTGTTGGCGTGTCACAATATTTTTTTACAATGAAAAAAAAAAAATGAATATCGTGCAGCGTTTATTTATTTATTCACGCATAAATGTTAAAAGTGTATAATTCACCTACAATTACAACAGTAGAAAGATGGGTAGCTGAACAATTGACGATCTACGTGAAAGACGTCCAAAAAGCGCATCAATACCAACAAGTTCGTGTCCGGGAATCGGCTAAGAAGATTATGGCATCAGTTGTTTCTTGGGATGAGAGAGGAATTTTGTTTGTGGATTACTTGCAAAGTCGTAAAAAAATTAATTCTGAATATTATTGCAAACATTTGGACTAGTTGAAGGAAAATATTCGTGAAAAAACGCGATTTGTAGAAAAAAGTCTTTTTCATCAGGACAATGCTCTGTGTCACAAGATCATTTTGACAATGATTAAAATCCGTGAATTAGTGACTCCTATTTATTTCCAGAACTCAAAAACTGAATGTCTGGCAAGCGTTTTTCATCAAATGAAGCGGTCATAACAGATGTTGAAGCCTATACTTGCTCTGCGAGATTATACTGAATAATAAGTATATTTTGAATCATAAAATTGTGTTTTTCTTATCAAAAGACAATACTTATTGAGTAACCTGGAATTTCTTTAAAAGAAAGACATGTAATGATCTTAATTACGGAATTTAGTGACATTGCTAATAAAGCATCGATTTACTAGTATGTAATCGAACATTTTTTACAGCGAGCGAATTTTAATTATTTTATTTATATTGGAATGTTTATATTTCTGTATTTTTTGCTTTGCACTTATTGAATTCCACATGTGCCATAAAAAAAATTATTCCTAAATGTTGAATTTTGTCACACTGTGGTGAATACTATTAGTTCTGTAATCCAATAATAAAGCGATGTCCTTTTCTGAACTACATACCCTCCATTACTCTATTATTAAAGCAATAAGAATGATATCTTTATATTAATCTTAGATACATATGCCCACATATCTTATTATAATATTACTCACTGAAAAATACACTAGTGGCAATGCAATGCTTACCACTACACTTTCTTAATTTTTTTCAATTTCTTTCTTAATTTTATTCAATTTTGTTTTGTTTATAATGTTTTTAGTAAGCATAAGTAAACTAAATTACATTATCTAATTATAATTATAGTTTTGGATTTATTTTATTTAATGATGAAAACATAAACAAGCTGTTCTGTGCTTATACAAAAGCGGCCGATTTTACTCTTTTTAAAGTAATAACGCCACTAAACTTCATGTTTCAATTAAAACAAAAATAAAATAAAACATGTATTTCAATTATAGTGTAAATGAAATGAAATTAAAGAAATTATATATAATATATAATTTTTTACTCGCATGTCAATCTCTTACTTTCGAGCTCATTTTGTAAAGCTAAACTAACTTTCAATGTGTTTTGTTTTTAATTTTTAATAGTTTTGATTTTCTATACCGCAAAAAGTACCGCTAGAGAGTGTTGTCAAATATGCTCAATACTTCAAAACCTTGGATGGTAAGCTTTGCGCGGCCACGAGTGTAATTCGAAATTTTAATCCTTAAATACTACTACTCGATATGCTGCAGAGAAAAGTGGCAGATGCAATATTTCGCTGGCTGTACAGCTGTACAGATATTTATGAATGGGAACACAGAAAATATAAATATATTTTATTACTATGTACTATATAAGTATATATGTATATTTCTCTAGTAAAAAAGTCCACAAGGACATAGGACCGTAAATAAACTCACTAAGTTTGTAACACGTAGAAGGATACGTTGGAGACAATATAATATATTAATATATTGTATATATATATATAACTGATCAGAATGACGAGCTGAGACGATTTAGCCATGATAACGGTCTGTTGAAATCCGAGTAACTGTTTGTCCGTTCATGTGGTTACTTGAGTGAAAATAAAGATACCATAATGAAACTTTTTCACTAACACCAAAAAAAGCTTGGTATAATAGAATGAAATCGAACCACTTCTACGCTAGCAAAACGCTATTCATCGAAAACTAGTAAAGTACTGTAACTAAGCACTACATCTTAGGAACAATTTGACCGAGTTTAACCGAATTTGGTGTGGTAGATTATCGAAATATTTCTATTTGATATTGTGAAAATGGATTACTTTCCATTTAACAAACCTTTAAGTTGTTAGAGTAAAAATTTGCAGAAATGGTGCTCTCAAGGTATTTTATCTTACAAAATCAAAATCGTACTAAAAGTTGTGCCAAAAAATGTATAAAATCGGATCACAACCTAATAACTTTTGGTTCATTTTATACCTCATTTATCGGAGACCTGTCAGAAATTCGGAAAAAATCTCTTTTTAATAACAGTGTATGTTTGATATAAAGTTTTGTCAAGGCCTAAAGCTGTTTCCCAGTCTTTGATCCTTGTAAGTCGCAAGAGTATGAAATGTTAGATTACATCCGTTCTTACCTGTTATATTCTGAAAATATACAAAATGTAGAACAGTTTTCTGATACAAATAATTTTTATTAAAAATATTTAACTAAAAGATATTATCCAAAACTTAGATCATCTATTTTTATTGAATCAGTCCGTAATGTAATTTCAGAGATATCGAACTACCGCAATTTAGCTTAGAGGTTCACACATATGCCAGTATTATACTTGTACTTATACGCAGCATTGTGTGCCATATGTCAATAGAAGTAATTTTTATAAGTGTGCTCTTAAGTATTTTTATGGAATTTACTGAAGCGACAAGCGATGCTCATCAGGGGCAGCTTGCACGTAGCCTTTCACAACCGCATTCATGTTAGAACATATGTTTGCATGAATGTAGATTATTTGGTGGATAAAATATCATTTTGATTAGCATACGTACATACAAATATAAATTAAGAAGTGATATTAATATTAAGTTGAATTAGGGATATTTCATAGTAGGAGTGAAATTCTATATTTGCTTCGGTATGCGATTTATAAATCTTGAGGGACTCTGTTTTCTTGAAAAAAAAAAAGTGAAATATAGTTACAATATACATATACAAACACAGCGTATGTTTTTGGATGAAAACTTACCATGATCGTCAATACGTTTTCTTTTAATGCAATTTCCATTTGGATCTGTAGAGTGTTGTATACCCAGTATCCCATTTATACTATATGCTGTTGATCGCTGTTCTACGCCGTTGTTATTATTAGTGGCATTTGCATTTAGAGTTGGGGTTGATGCCGCTGTATTAAGAATATTTTGTTGCTGGTGTTGTTGTAAATGTGTCACCGCTGCCGCAACAGTGGTGGCTGGTGCATGTGCTATAACTGATGTCGGGTTACTATTTGAGTTATTAGAGCTATTTTGTTGCTGGTGGTGACTCAAATCATTCCCATTGCTTTCCACACTATCCATTGCATTGTGATTGGAGTTGCCGCTGTTACCTGCAGAACAGCCGCTGTTATGTTGTTGTGGTTGATGGTGGTGGACATGTTTTGCTTTCTCTGCGGCCTTGTTTCGAACAATTCTACAATGAGATTGTCACAATATTTTTAAATTAAAACTAATATAGTAGCCTTTAGTGATTCTGCAATACTTTTCTCAAAGAATAATTACTCAACTGATGAATGTAACTGCTATTACTGACCCTATGTCTACGCAGACCATAAACAAAATTGTGCCCATGGATGCAATAGCAAATGAATAAAAGCAAGTTCGTCCTCCTTAGAGCGGTAATGAAAGTGCGATAAATCTCTAACGAAACGTTATAAACATTCGTTTCAACCGTTTAGTTGTATGGATATGATATATGTATGCACAGGGTCCGGCACTCGAAGTACCAACTTCAGACCGTTCGCGCAGCTGTCGTACTGGAATCAGCTGTTTATAAATTTGCTGAATGACATTTCGGAGTATTGTTCACAAGTGTACAAAAGCGTTTTGCCAAAAGTGAACTCAAAAAAAGTGATCAGCGATGGAATTCAAACCTAATAGTGTGATTGCTTTATATTTAGCTGGAAAATCATAGCCAGCAATTGTTCGTGAGCTCAAACACCTTAAGGTGAATAAAGTTTTTATTTATCTCACCATCACTAATTTCAACAAGACTCAGCACCGTCCCACAAAACGAGAGTGAACCAAGAATGGGTGAAAAACAACGTTCCGAACTTCATTACGACCACACAATGGCTCCCGAATTCACCAGATGCGAATTGAATAGATTATTCTCTCGGATTCCTTTTTGGAAAGCAAGGTCCGAAATAAAAAATACAACAGTCTCGAGATGCTGAAGAAAGGCGTTGTCCATGAGTGGGCCAAAATACCGGCAACTCACATTCGGGCATATTGCGATTCGTTTTTTGACCGTTTCAAGGCCACAGTTAAGGCAAAAGGTGGTCATATCGAGAAAAAGTGAATTGGTCCTGAATTTATGATTATTTTCTCAAATTTTGTACTTTAAAATAAATAAAAATAATTTTCCAAACCGAATTTATTCTTTTTTAATTGGTTTGATAGGGCCTGACCCTGTATACTTATATGTTCGGAGGAACTTTATAATTTTGTACTTGCAAGTCAAATTTTTTTTCTTCGCGGAGTGTCATTTATGATGGAAATAATTAATAACTCTTAACATTTGGGGAGGGGGTGTTAGTAGCAGTAGTTTGGCTTCGGGACTCGTTTACAGTTAGAGCGAAGGATGTTTTCACGGGAAATTAAAGCCGTTTAAATGGGATTGGCAGATTACTTGGGATAATCGGAATCCTCGGTATATGAGCTAGGCCGGTGATAATGGTTGCTATAATTAAATAGTTTTTCTATTCCTTAATGAGCAGCCTCGTCCCGTTGCACATGTTTAGAGGACTTAAATTCCTGACATGCAAAATTGTATTTCCAATTTTTAAAGCCAATTCATGTGGTGGCAGTCCAAAAAGGTTTAACGAAATTAAAAACTCCTGGGAATAATGAACTGCGTCTTCGATTTTAGTTTAGACACCGTGACGATTTCAATTTTTTTATTTCTCCGAGAACTTTTTAATTTTTATCGTTTATTTCGTTGACACTATCATTTCTCTGTAACACTATTGCCACACAACACAACCAATGAAATTCCCTTTCATCCAAATTTAAGATATCAAGGTTATTTGGCCTAGAGACTCACCTAGAAGAATGAGCTCTCATATTCGTCCGTAATTTTATATTTTCAGTCAAAGTCCATAAGGGCGATGATATTAAGCATGCTTTGATGATATCTGCTCGCTTACCTCTGTTAATGACAGGAAGAGTCAGTCGGAAATCTCCAGCAAATATGTGCTTTATGGCTCATGGTGCAATCATCCCACATAATCAATGAGGCATCTTGCAATACTCGTAGTTAACCAAGAGGTCCATTTTTGCGAATAGCACATATTGATTGTTGTTCAAGATTTATTGATAACGGAAGCTTAAAAGATGAATGAGCAGTTTTTCCATCATTTAAAAAAGTTGAAGCATTTAATGACGAAGCAACTGTTTTCAAATATTCTCTCTCTAAATTTGACGTTCTCTTTTATAAGTAAGAAATTATTTTTAATTTTATTTTTTGCATTTGCGCTCGTAAGTTGGTCATAGAGGACGGAGTCATGAGTAGATGTTCGCGCAAGTGAGGAAACTTCTCTGATCGCTATTCACTTGGGAATAGCCAGAAACAATTTCTTTACATATGACTCAAACACTTTACGATTTCCGGTCTTAGACCAAGTATTCTCTGGGTAGCCTAGGAACATCCATTTGAAAACGAGCTTAAGTAAAAAGGCGAAATATCCCCTCGTCACGTAACAACACTATCAATGAAAAACGGCCCTGGCAAACGAAATAAGGACCACGATTTGAGAGCATGCACCCGGAATGTCGGGTCCCAGGTGGCCCTGCCCAGCTGGTTGATGTCCACGTTAGAAGGAAGGCTGACATCACCACCGTCCAAGAAATGCGATGGATGGGACAAGGACTAAGGCGACATTTGCTACTGTGGTCAAATGGAGCAGAAATTTCGTGTGGGATTTGATTGAAGCGCACTTTACGCTAGGGTGAGAAAAGAAGGTATCTTTGGCTCAACAGTCGATAAATGGTTGGAGGCTGATCGACTTCGCCGGGGCCCGAAATATGGTTATCTGTAGTACTAGATTCCAGCATAAGAAGATACATCAAACTACCTGGCTGCCTCCGGATCGAAAAACCACCAACCAGATCGATCATGTTGTGATAGACCGAAGACACGTCTCCAGTGTTTTAGATGTGCGTGCGTCCCGAGGTCCTAACATCAACTCGGACCACTATCTTGTTGCAACCAAGATTTGAACTCGCCTCTGTGTAGCAAAAAACGCTCGCCAACAAATACAAGGAAGGTTTGACGTCAAGAAGCTGCAATCACAACAGGCAGCCAAACGATTTTCTACTCGGCTTGCACTCCTGCTCTCTGAGAGCACTTGTTCACAACTCGGTATAAGGGAACTGTGGGACGGCATTTCAAACTCCTTACGTACAGCTGCAACTGGAACCATTGGTTTTCGGAAAATGCAAAAGAAGAGCTGGTACGACGAGGAGTGCCGTGTCGAAGAGGAGAGAAATCAGACTGCCTACCTCGCAACGTTACGATCGACCATAACACTTGCGGAATGGAATAGATACTGAGAGTTGAAGAGGGAAGCGAAACGCATTTGCAGACAGAAAAAGAAAGAAGACGAAATGCGTGAGTATGAAGAGCTTGATAAGCTGGCTGATAGGGGAAACGCTCGAAAATTCTACGAAAAAATACGGCTAAATCTTGTAGAACCCTCAAAGGTGACCTAGTTACCGATGCCCAGAGCATACTTAAATTATGGAAGGAACACTTCTCCAGTCCGCTGAATGGCAGTGAATGTACAACGAAGGGAGAAGGCGAACCCAATTCCCCAATCGATGACGATGGAGCAGGCGTTAGATTGCCCCATCATGAAGAAGTTCGAATAGCAATTACCCGTCTGAAGAACAACAAAGCGGTGGAGACCGATAGCTTGCCGGCCGAGCTATTCAAACACGGCCGCGAAAAACTGATAAGAAGCATGCATCAGCTTCTTTGTAAAATATGGTCGGACGAAAGCATGCCCAACGATTGGAATTTAATTGTGCTATGCCCAATCCATAAAAAGGCCAACTACCGTGGGATAAGAATCCTCAACATCGCGTAAAAGGTTCTATCGAACGTATTGTGTGAAAGATTAAATTCCACCGTTAACAAACTGATTGGACCTTATTAGTGTGGCTTTAGACCTGGCAAATAAACAACCGTCCAGATATTCACCATGCGCCAAATTTTGGAGAAGAGAGAATTGACACAGCTCACCACTTCGTCGATTTCAAAACTGCTTTCGACAGCACGAAAAGGAGCTGCCTTTATGCTGCGATGTCTGAATTTGGTATCACCGTAAAACTATTCTATAAATGTCATGTAAATTGAGTCAGCAACTAAATCTGAAAATTAACAGTGAATACGTCATTATGTATATAAATACGATCTCAGTTTGAACTCAAAAGTTATAGTGATGTTTACATTTTATTTTCATAGAGGCAGGTCTCCGTATACGTTTACGTATTATATATCATACGCTCCGCCGCGCCCACATCTTTTGAGATATTTTTTTGAAAATTGGAAATTACCCTTTTAATATCATTACAGATGTCTGCTTAATATAAAATGTCACAATCTATACCTTTATCTATTTGCAACATTCCTACAGGGATTGCAGTTTTTTAGCCTCTGAAAGTTTTACAAAATGATGTCAAGTATATGAAAGCTTTGGACTCATAATAAGAGGTTTTACAAATTGTTTAATAAAACCCAATTTAATATATTAGGTAGTCGGAAACGTATTTTGTCAATATTTGTGAAGTTTACGGAGACGATGCTGTATCAGTTCATGTAGTACAACAGCGTTTCCCTCGCTTCCGTTCTGGAAAATTCGATTTACACTGACGGAATAATGTCTCTAGCGGGAAAATGGCAAAAAGTAGTCGAAGTGGTACATATTTGTTTATTTATTTATAAAAAAATAAGTTGAAATTTGATTAGAAATACGACAATACTTTTTCGACTACCCAATACAATAATAGACGTCATTAATATAGTTTCAGGGTAGATAATTTCCTCCCGTTTAATATTACATTTTACAATTTCCTGATCGGTGCGTATCGGTCAATATTTTTGGCGATAGTGAGGAGCATAAATTGTTATGCGCCAATGGAATAGAATATATAGAAATTTATTTTATTATTTAGACGTTTTGTTGAGCTATCAATAAAAAGGCAATCTTGAAAAATATTTTTCAAAGAAATTGTTTTCAAAGAAACCTTTCATTACATAATAGGGGCTACTTTATTTCTTCTTCTTCTTCTTAATTGGCGTAGACACCGCTTACGCGATTATAGCCGAGTTAACAACAGCGCGCCAGTCGTTTCTTCTTTTCGCTACGTGGCGCCAATTGGATATTCCAAGCGTAGCCAGGTCCTTCTCCA